CACACACACACACACACACACACACACACACACACACACACACACTACAGTTGAAGGTTCTTATTAAAAAACCTGATTATAAAGTTATTTCATCTACATTGTCTTTGTTGTGGTAGATAATTTAATAGACAGGATAGGTTAGGTTAGGTTAGGTTAGGTTAGGTTAGGTTAGGTTAGGTTAGGTTAGGTTAGGTTAGGTTAGGTTAAAAGACCTTGGGTTAGTATAGGGTAGGGTAGTCTAGGTATGGTTAGGTTAGGTTAAGTTTGGCTAGAGGTTGGGATAGGTTTGGGTAGGTTAACTCAAGTTAGATTAGGATAGGGTAGTGACACCGGCCGAGGTGGGAGGAAGAGGAGGAGGTAGGGAGGAAGAGGAGGAGGTAGGGAGGAAAAAAGGAGAGATAGGGAGGAAGAGGAGGAGGAGTAGGGAGGAAGAAGAGGAGAGATGGGAGGAAGGAGGAGTAGGGAGGAAAAGAGGAGGAGGAGGGGGGTAGGGAGGAAGAAGAGGAGGAGGAGGGGGTAGGGAGGAAGAGGTGGAGGAGGTGCTTGTTGTTGATGTGGAGGAGTAACGGGGTCACCTGAGCTAACACCTGGTAGGAAATGGTCTCACACCTGGCCACTTGGCAAGCCCTCACCACACCTGGGTAGCCCTCACACCCTCACCACACCTGCCCAGCCCTCATCACACCTGGTAGGTTAGGGTGTTTAATCATCAGGTAAAACAAGCTGGAGGTGGAGGAGGGGGGGGGCTAATCTTCACGTGATCCGTAGACTGAACCGTGTGGTAACTGTGGCTGACCAGCATGTACCCTCACCTGTTGACGTGTATACACCTGAGAGATGGCATTTCTCTTGGTAATTAAGACGGTAATTAATTCTCTCTTACCTGTCATCAACTTAAATACTTTCGTCAGATTATATTCGGTTAGGTTAGGAAAAGAATTAAACAATAGAGAGAGAGAGAGAGAGAGAGAGAGAGAGAGAGAGAGAGAGAGAGAGAGAGAGTAAACTAGATACAAAAAAGAGAAAGAAAGAAAACCAACGTAAAAGGCAGATTGAAAGAAAACAAACAAACAAGAGAGAGAGAGAGAGAGAGAGAGAGATTGTTTACCCTGGCTCCCCTTTGTCTGAACTCTCTTGTTTACATTAGATCAGTTCGGTCGGGTAGGAAGCAAACACTCCTTAGCGTATCATTGTTTACAGGGTGTGTTTGTTGCTCCGTTTTCAATTAAATTTTTTTCTACATCTTATTACGTTCAATTATTTTTTTTTATCCCTTTCTCTTATTAATTAATTTATCTCTCCTGTTGTCTCTGTTTTTAGTTAGGTTAGGGTTAGGTTAGGTTAGGTCTGGTAAGGTTAGGGTTAGGTTAGGTTGGGTCTGGTAGGTTAGGGTTAGGTTAGGTTGGGTCTGGTAAGGTTAGGGTTAGGTTAGGTTGGGTCTGTGGGTTAGGGTTAAGGTTAGGTTAGGTCTGGTAAGGTTAGGGTTAGGTTAGGTTGGGTCTGGTAAGGTTAGGGTTAGGTTAGGTTGGGTCTGGTAAGGTTAGGGTTAGGTTAGGTTAGGTCTGGTAAGGTTAGGGTTAGGTTAGGTTAGGTTAGGTCTGGTAAGGTTGGTTAGGTATATAGTTTACGTTTTTCTACAGTTACTTTTAATTTTATACACCATAATATTTTTCTTCACGTCCGAAAGCATTCCTCTTCCCGTTTGTTTACTTTCCGCGTTTGTTTGTTTGTTGTTTGTTTGTTTGTTTAACCATCCTGTCTGCCGCTTGCTCACTCATTAACTATCTCGTTGATTGAAGGGACTGGAGTGGATGGATGAAAGAGAAGTAGTAGTAGTAGTGGTGGTAGATTGTGGTAGAAGATGGTAGTGGTGGTAGATTGTGGTAGAAGATGGTAGTGGTGGTACATTGTGGTAGAAGATGGTAGTGGTGGTAGATTGTGGTTGAAGATGGTGGTGGTGGTAGATTGTGGTAGAAGATGGTAGATTGTGGTAGAAGATGGTAGATTGTGGTAGAAGATGGTAGTGTGGTAGATTGTGGTTGAAGATGGTAGTGGTGGTAGATTGTGGTAGAAGATGGTAGTGGTGGTAGAAGATGGTAGTGGTGGTACATTGTGGTAGAAGATGGTAGTGGTGGTTTTGGTGATGGTAGTGGTGGTAGATTGTGGTAGAAGATGGTAATGTGGTAGATTGTGGTAGTGGTAGATGAGGAGGATGGTATGATGATTTATGGTGGTAGTAGGTAGCATGGTGATATAGAGTAGTAGTGGTGATAGTGGTGGTAGATTGTAGTGATGGTGATTGATGGTGGTGGATTGTAGTGATGGTGATTGATGGTGGTGATGGGATTGAGTGGGTCCGTGGTGTATAATGTAGCAGGTATAGTGTTGATGTTTGCTGTCTGCTACAACATTCTGTGACGAGCGAGGTAAACATGTGTCTAATGTGACGGATTAACACACCTGCTAACACCTGTGGATCCGTGTGAGATGCGCCCGTACACACACACACACACACTACTACTGTGTGATTGAGATTGTCTGAATTGTTATCATCGCCCCCCTCTGAAAATCCTTTCCTAGATCCCCCCTCGTCAAAGCTTCCCAGAATAATCCCTCGTACGTCCTCCCCACCTCCCCCATCTCCCCACCTCCCTCGTCACCTGGACCTCGTAATCCCCCTAGCACAGTACATCCTCCATGGCGTCATCCACACTAAGCGACGGCTTGTACTACCTCCCCTTCAGGATAAACAGACGACCTCACACACACACACACACACCCGCTAAGTAGTCCACCACTCATACCTCCCTTGTCTCCTGCGTCGTCACGCCCACCACCTTACGCCCGTTCCTTTCTCCCGACCTCACGGCCTCCTCACCCACCTTACGCACCCTTCACCCACCTTACGGCCCCCTTCACCCACCGTACGCCTCTCACCCACCTTACGCCCTTTGGCCCACCTCACGCCCCTTCGGTGGTGAAGATTTCAATTCAATTTGCCCCCCCCGCAGCGCCGGGTGGGTGGGGTGCAGTCTCTGGGGGTCAAGACTGTTGGGGGGGGGGAGACGAGCACTGACACTGAGTCCTTGTAAGTCTTTATCTGCTCCAGGATGACCCCAGGTCCTTGACGTAGTAGCAGAGGGGTCAAGTAGGTCGTTATAGACTATTGGCTGTAGTTAATAATGGCAAAGAGGGAGAGTGAGTGAGAGTCTGTACCAACACTAAGGTGAGAGGTGAGCGTCGGTCATTGTGTGAGTGAGTGTGTGTGTGTGTAGAGGTACTGGTGCTTCTGTGGTTCCTCGTTCACTCGGTGGGTTAATTCATACCTGGTGGAAGGGATCAAGTTGACTCACCAAACAGCCACTTTACCTTAGATTATAACTGGCCTTTCACCGCTGCTAACGTCCACCACTTGACGCTAAGAAGAGGCATCCAATACGCTTCTCTTGTTCACCCATTATAATAAGAGTTGTATTAGTTACCCCTTAAACGTAATTACTTTTAGATATTTTCACTACATTAATAAAATCCAAACACAACTTTAGACCATTCTTATTATTTATAAAACATTACCATAAACCATTAGTCTCATATAGTAACCATTACCATTGTTACCATTACCCTACCATTGATTGCCCCGTCGTTACTCAGGTAATTGCCATAGATACCTAATTAGTGGTATCCAGGTGGGTGCTGGCGAGGAGGGAGAGAGGGGTGAAGGGGGAGGATGGGGTTAGGGTGAGGGGAGTTCTTGCACTTTCACTACGTTTCACTCCTACTGCCCTTCCCCTCACCCCACCGCACCAACACCCATACTGTCACACACCAACCACTATTTGCCCAACTGCGACCTCCTGCCACCACCCAGCACCACCACCACCCACCTGTTTTACTACTACCACCACCACTACCATCTACCATCGTCGTCTTTGCTACCACAATCCATCTACTAACATCGCTTGTATCATCCACCTATAACCACCACAACCCCCTTTACCAACATTCTTTTTTCTCCTACACCACAACCACCATCCACAATCATCCACACCCTCTCCCTTACACCACACTACCCACTTACCACACAATCACCAGACTCATCCACTCACCCTCCCTTACACCACACTAAGTCGCTTTATCACACAAACACCTGCTATTTACTTCCCATAAATAGCACATAACAATAACCTTCCCCGTCCATTATCAGCATCACAGGAATCACACACACTGACCCACAATTTGAAAGTGTAATAAAACGAAGGAGAGACGAAGATGGTGAGATAGTAGATGGATGCTGACGGAGGGGGGTGAGAGGTGGGGGAAGGAGGAGAGAGAGTGGGAGTGTCTGTGTGTGTAAGAGAGAGAGAGAGAGGGAGACAAAGAGAGTTAGAGAGAGGGAGACAAAGAGAGAGGAAGAGAGAGATTCGCCATATCATTATATTTTCTTCCTCCTCTCCTTTCTCCTCTTCTTTTAACCCTCCTTCTCCTTTCCCTTCCTCTCCTCTCCTCCTCCTCCTCTCCCCCTTCCCACCCCCCCTTCCTCCTATACCAGCAGGTCCCTTAGCAGTTGATGCAGTGGAAAATTTATTAACACGCTTTAAGACACCAGTGATAATCCCCAGGTAAAGTGTGCGTGTGTGTGTGTGTGTGTGTGTGTGTGTGTGTGTGTGTGTGTGTGTGTGTGTGTGTGTGTGCTCTCGCTACAGTCACCATCACCGCCATTTATCACCTGGATTTAAGAAAAAATTTGGGGGGCCAAATTAACTTACGGTATAGATTAACTTTGCTGTTTCTGAAGATTATTTGTGATTTTTATTGTTTTTGTTGTTTGAAAAAAATAGAGACGACGGTTTTGGAATTACCTATCTATCAATTCTATCGATCTATCTATGTAGAGAAATGTTACGCTATTGTGTTGAAAATAAACATTACTATTAGCCCAACACATAGAAAAACATCAATACAAACACACAGGTGCATTAATAAGTTACTAATCTTCGTACCTGTCGCTTGAACACCTGTGGCCTGAACACCTGTGGCCTGAACACCTGTGGCCTGAACACCTGTCCTGAACACCTGTGGCCTGAACACCTGTGGCCTGAACACCTGTGGCCTGAACACCTGTCGCTTGAACACCTGTGGCCTGAACACCTGTGGCCTGAACACCTGTGGCCTGAACACCTGGCCTGAACACCTGTGACTGTCGCCTGGCTGAACACCTGCCTGAACACCTGGCTGAACACCTGTCCTTGACACTGTGGCTACACTGTGGCTGACCTGTGGCCTGAACACCTGTGGCTGAACCTGTCGCTGAACACCTGTGGCCTGACACCTGTGGCCTGAACACCTGTGGCCTGAACACCTGTCTGACACCTGTGGCCTGAACACCTGTGGCCTGAACATTTGTCAAGATAGTGTACGGCCTCCTCAGCAGGTGTTTTCTGGCCGGAGGATAGCTTTTGGGTAATTAAAGTAGCGGACAGGTGAGACACACGACAGAGGACTTGCCCAGGTGTTACGATTACGACAGGTAAGCGATGCCAGCCAGCCAGGTGGTCATTACTCTCTCTCTCACGTGCCTCCATTAAGGTCGCTTCTTGTAGGTAATTAAGGCAAGATTCTCACCACCTCAGGCTCAGTTGTGGGGTTTGGCACTATTTTGACCTGGCTCTAGCGAAAGGGCTTAAAAGACGTTCACCTTTCAATTGTTTTTTCTGAGATTGTGTAAAGCATTTCCGTACCGAGAGAAGAATATAGCGATTGTCTTTTGTTTATATATAAGGACTTGAACATCGTGTTGAAGAAGGTGTTTCGATCCTCTCTTTCCTTATTTAAAACACGCTTGGATTCTTAAAGACATTCCAACAGTTAGCATAGTAATTCATAAACTCATAAATATTCCATTAAAAATACTTTAAATGCTCCATATATAATTTCTAATTTTTGTTTCATGTATAAGAACTTTGAAATCGTATTGAAAGCGACTCGATCCTTTTTGGTTTCCTTATTTAAAACACCGTTAGATCCCATAAAAGGTATTCGAGCCACATTATAATTCCGATAAAGAGATTCACATATATTTTTTTACCGACTACAAATTGGCTTCGTTAAAGATTCCGGAGTTGATAAAAGACCTCGACGCAGTTTGCTGTAAAGTAGTGTGTGTGTGTGTGTGTGTGTGTGTGTGTGTGTGTGTGTGTGTGTGTGTGTGTGTGTGTGTGTGTGTGTGTGTGTGTGTGTGTGTGTGTGTGTGTGTGTGTGTGTGTGTGTGTGTGTGTGTGTGTGTGTGTGTGTGTGTGTGTGTGTGTGTGTGTGTGTGTGTGTGATAATAATTAACGGTTTATTGAAAGAGCTTGGCAGCCAGAAGGCTGAAATATACAGTTACATATTTGGGGAATGGGTTACGAATTACAAATAATATACAAGTAACATAAGTGACACAAATAAGACATATAATAACTAGATGGGGAAAAGCTCAAACTACAGTTCATTTCAACATAGTGACAGTGCAAGGAGTAGTGTTTACTGGGAGTGAATACACTGATTTATTACAAGTTATTGATATTTTACAATGGTTGGGACTGGGCTGTTCTTATAGCGATCAGTTCGTGCACGTATGGGCTGGATGCGGTTGTGGTGTCGAAAAGCAATTCTCGGACTAGGGATCTCAGGTGGTAGTAGGAGCCGGTGTCGGGGATGGTGTAGAAGCTTCTTACCAAATTGCAGATGAGGTCGTGGTGATGGTCAGTGAGTGGAAGGGTCAGTGTGTTGAGCGCTTCTTGATATGTGGAGTAGGAAGGGGAGAGAATAATCTTGCATGCCCTCTTTTGCACTTTTTCTAGGTGTTTACGTTGTGTGGCATTTAGGGAGGAAGACCAGGTGGGGGAGGCATAGGTGAGCTTGGGAAGTATGAATGTTGTGTGTGTTGTGTGTGTGTGTGTGTGTGTTTTAAGTTAGGTCAGGTCATTAAGCAAGGTTAGGTTACGTTTTGGTTAATTTAGTTTGAGTTGGATTAGGTCAGGTCAGTTCAAGTCAGGTTCAAGTTAATCAAGGTTAAATCAGGTTGGGTTAGATTAAGTTATCTTCTACTAAAAGCATTAAATAATAAACACAAAACCTCACTCCCCTGCAACTTTCAACACCTCATTTGCATACAGGACAAACTTGACCAATTTTTTTTTCATTATAAAATATTGAGAATAAACTGGTTATTTGTGTTTTTCAGGGGAGTTTACCTGAAGGCGGGTAGCAACACACACACACACACACACAGACAGCCTTAAATTAACACGGTACACTAACCTTGGTGTGATGGGGGGAGGGAGGTAGGGAAAAGGTGGGAGGACTTGATGTTTTCATTAATCATACCTGGGTAGAAGCTCTCTCTCTCTCTCTCTCTCTCTCTCTCTCTCTCTCTCTCTCTCTCTCTCTCCTTGTGATGTTGGTAGTGCTATGCTGGCTCACTCGCCATTGGCTGGTAGTGTCATGACGTCACTTCCTGTTATGGCACTGAATTGACTTTTCCAGCTATAGAAATGTGCTGCCAGTGCCTCGTTGTGTTTTAGATATTGCTGTGAACTCACTCACTCTCTCACTCTTGCTCACTCACTCTCTCTCGCTCACTCACTCTCTCTCACCACTCACTCACTCTTGCTCACCCTCTCTCACTCACTCACTCCTCCTCTCTTGCTCACTCTCTCTCACTCTCTCACTCACTCCTCTTGCTCACTCACTCCTCCTCACTCACTCACTCTTGCTCACTCACTCACTCCTCTCACTCACTCACTCCACATACATATACGGCTGCAACCTTGTGTGTGTGTGTGTGTGTGTGTGTGTGTGTGTGTGTGTGTGTGTTAATTGCTTGAAATCATACACCAACGGGTTTCTTGTGCTGTGGCTTGCGTGTTACCGCATACACTGTCACCCATGCTGACGAAATGCACTGTAAGCGTCTCTCTCTCTCTCTCTCTCTCTCTCTCTCTCTCTCTCTCTCTCTCAGCCTCTGAAAGATGGTTTATACGAAGCGTCAGCAGATGTTCCTGATTGGTGATAGTCTGGAGGTGTGGGTATAGTCTGGAGGTGTGGGTGTAGTCTGGAGGTGTGTGGGTATAGTCTGGAGGTGTGGGTATAGTCTGGAGGTGTGGGTGTAGTCTGGAGGTGTGGATAGTCTGGAGGTGTGGGTATAGTCTGGAGGTGTGGGTATAGTCTGGAGGTGTGGGTATAGTCTGGAGGTGTGGGTGTAGTCTGGAGGTGTGGGTATAGTCTGGAGGTGCGGGTATAGTCTGGAGGTGTGGGTATAGTCTGGAGGTGTGGGTATAGTCTGGAGGTGTGGGTATAGTCTGGAGGTGCGGGTATAGTCTGGAGGTGCGGGTATAGTCTGGAGGTGTGGGTATAGTCTGGATGTGCGGGTATAGTCTGGAGGTGTGGATATAGTCTGGAGGTGTGGGTATAGTCTGGAGGTGCGAGTATAGTCTGGAGGTGTGGGTATAGTCTGGAGGTGTGGGTATAGTCTGGAGGGTGGGTATAGTCTGGAGGTGTGGGTATAGTCTGGAGGTGTGGGTATAGTCTGGAGGTGTGGGTATAGTCGTTGTGTGGGTATAGTCTGGAGGTGTGTGGGTATAGTCTGGAGGTGTGTGGGTATAGTCTGGAGGTGTGGGTATAGTCTGGAGGTGTGGGTATAGTCTGGAGGTGTTGGTATAGTCTGGAGGTGTGGGTATAGTCTGGAGGTGTGGGTATAGTCTGGAGGGTGGGTATAGTCTGGAGGTGTGGGTATAGTCTGGAGGTGTGGGGTATAGTCTGGAGGTGTGTGGGTATAGTCTGGAGGTGTGTGGGTATAGTCTGGAGGTGTGGGTATAGTCTGGGGTGTGGGTATAGTCTGGAGGTGCGGGTATAGTCTGGAGGTGTGGGTATAGTCTGGAGGTGTGGGTATAGTCTGGAGGTGTGGGTATAGTCTGGAGGTGTGGGTATAGTCTGGAGGTGTGTGGGTATAGTCTGGAGGTGTGTGGGTATAGTCTGGTGTGGGTATAGTCTGGAGGTGTGTGGGTATAGTCTGGAGGTGTGGGTATAGTCTGGAGGTGCGGGTATAGTCTGGAGGTGCGGGTAACTGTAGTATTGCTTTCTTGTGATAGTGGGAAAAACCCGCCTTCAGAAAGTGGGTTTACAGAGAGAGAGAGAGAGAGAGAGAGAGAGAGAGAGAGAGAGGATTCGTTCGTTCGTTCGTGAGTCCGTTCATCCGTGAGTGAGTGAGTTTTGGAGGGAAATTTCGTAACCCGGTTTTAACACTAAAGGAATATATATATAACTGTGAGTTCTTGTTGTTGGTTACTACTTGTATTCTTGCTTGCTTGCTTGGTCAGTTCCTTGCTTGGTTGATTGGTAGGTTGGTTGGTTGCTTACATGCTTTCTTACGTATGAGGTTGGTTGGTTGTTTATTTGCTTGCATTTATACAACACCCAATCCTTGACAAAATTTGGCACCGACTTTAAAAATGTGAAGGTTGTAGTAGTGGTGGTGGTGGTGGTAATGGTGGTAGGAGTGATATTGATGGTGGTAGATAGTGGTGATGTTAGTAGTGGTGATAGTAAGAATGTGTTGATGGTGGTGGTTGATAGTGGTAGTGAAGGTAGTTGACAGTAGTGATGGTGGTTGGAGTAATACTTATGATTGTAGTGATGATGATGGTGGTAGTAGTGGTAGGAAGAATGTAGAGGTCAAGTCTAATATTGGTGCCGTTAAGAATGTGGTGAATGTGTAGTATGTATGAGGTACTTTTAAAGATACAGGAATCACATTACCCACAACACCAAGACGTATATTAAGTTAAAATTATATAAATGGAAAGTTTAGATTGAGAAACTTTGGTGTGTCGTGGATATTTTTTTTCTCTCTCTCTCACTGTGGATTTAATCAATATCCACACCAATGACGGGAAATATTGAGTCTCTAGATGTGGATTCGAACCAACATCTTCATATATCCACACACACACACACACACACCAACGAGAGATTTCAAGTCTGGGTGTGGATAAAAGCAACATCCACACATCACACACACCAACGAGAGATTTCAAGTCTGGGTGTGGATAAAAGCAACATCCACACACACATCCACACCCAGTACCGTACTCGTTACACAAGAACCAGCTTCAGTGATGAACAATTCGTCAAGAGCAGCTGTTAGTATTAGACTCTTTTAAAACATAGTGAGGAAATAATTGAGACTTTGTGATGCTCTCTCTCTCTCTCTCTCTCTCTCTCTCTCTCTCTCTCTCTCTCTCATTTCCTTCCCCTTCCCCTCCATACCCTCCTTCATTTCCTTCCCTGCCTTCCCTTCTCCTCCAACCCCCCCTCCTCCCCTCCCTGTACTGACTGATGCTGACGCCAGAGTAACGCTGACACTACCTTGCTGACATTATTTGGCTGACTGATTAATATTGACTGACAGCCTGGTACTTCTTGACTAACTGACAATCCTAGGTTAACAGACATAGGCAAACAAACACACAGACAGAGACAAAGACAGGCCAAATAAGGTCAGGTAAGGTCAGGGAGAGCCACTGGTGATAGGTAATGATAGACAGGTAAGCCATATAACATCCACACCTTGATTATTGTTCATTTAATTAGAGATTGTATTGTGAAGGAGGCCAGTGATTGTTCTCTCTCTCTCTCTCTCTCTCTCTCTCTCTCTCTCTCTCTCGTTCTCTCGTGCTTTTGTTATTATTATTATTATTATTTGTTGTTGTTTTGTTTATTTATTTATTTATTATTATTTATTATTTTCTTTACAGGTAAGTCACTCAGCGTCTCCTGGCAACCGGAAGTTATTTTAGTAGTCAAGGTTAGTAGACTCTACCTGTTTCCTCGCGTCTACCTGAGGAGTTCACTTTATTCAACCTTATTTTACTTCTCTTTCTACTCATTATTCTTTTTCTCTTTCCTTCTCGTCTTGAAGTGAGAGGAAGGAGAGGAGTAGAGAGAGAAGAATAGGGGAGAAGCTGGGAAATAGAGCGAGGTCAGAGGAGAAGCAAAGAGTAGAGGGAATGAGATCAGGTCAGAGGAGAGAGAGAGAGAGAGAGAGAGAGAGAGAGGAGAGAGAGGAGAGAGAGAGGGGGGGGGGGGGGGGGGGGGGAGAGAGAGGCAGGTGATTTAATAACCTTAACAGAAAAGGCAACAGATAACAGCACCAAGCAAAGGTAGCAACAGCAAAAAACAGCAACATACAGGAACAATTTCTCTAGCACCCAGCACCACCCTCCCACCCCCCCCTCCCCCTCCACCCCTCACCCCCTCCCTCTCACCCCTCACCCCCTCCCCCTCTCACCCTCCTCTCACACCCCATCCACCCTCCTCGTTCTCTCAGTGTTGATGATCATATTGTACAAAGTTGTTGCCTTGACATTTTCGTGTGCACAATATTGCTTGAGTCTGTCTTGAGGGTGTGGGGAAGGTGTTTGGTTGTTGCTGTGGTGGTTGGTTGTTGTGGTAGTTGGTTTGGTTGGTTGGTTATTGACGTTAGTGATTGATTAATGTTGTGATGATAGTCTAAATTACATTGTTTGTAAGTATTGCAGTTTAAGGTGAAAAGAAAACACACACACACACACACACACACACACACACACACACACACACGTAAGAAACACACCTATGTATACCAAAACCACAGGTGTACACATATATGAGTGACTTTGAAAACGTAAGTATCAATGTATTAATTCATGTATACCAGGTGTCTCTTGGTGATACATGCACGTCTTATGTATGAATGTCAGCTTATGTATCCTGTGTAGTAAGGGTGTCAGTCAGGCGTGGCGTGAGTGAGAGCCGTGGTTCAAGTTTCTGAAGCTTTTAATAGACGTGTAGCCGTGTTGTGTCTTGTGGTCCCTCTGTGTGTTACTTTAGACTGCTTTAATTGTTTTGTTTTACCTTAAGATAAGCCCTCCTTCAAATTATATCACCTGATGACTTTACACCTTAAACTAACCTAATCCAACCTAACCTAAGCTAACCTAATCCAATCTAATCTAACCTAACCTAAGTTAACCTAACATTGCCTTACCTAACCTTGCCTTTACCTAACCTTGCCTTTACCTAACCTAATCTTACCTAACTCTACCTAACCTAATCTAATCTAATCTAACCCAACCTTAACCTAACTCTAATCTAATCTAATCTAATCTAACCTAACCCAAGCTAACCTAACATTGCCTTACTCAACCTTGCCTTACCTAACCTAATCTAACCCAACTCAACCTAACCTAATCTAATTACCAACCTAACCCAACCAACCTAACCTAATAATCTAATCTAACCTAACCTAAGCTAACCTAACATTGCCTTACCTAACCTTGCCTTACCTAACCTAATCTAACCTAACCTAACCTAATCTAATCTAACCAACCTAACCTAACCTAACTACCTAACCTAATCTAGCTACCTAACCTTGCCTTACCTAACCTAACCTAACCTAACCTAATCTAATCTAATCTAACCTAACCTAACCTAACCTAACATTGCCTTACCTAACCTTGCCTTACCTAACCTAACCTAATCTAATCTAACCTAACCTAACCTAACCCAAAACCCCCCAAAGGTAACGTTAGGGTGTTCAATCAGGTCTAATAAGCTAGGGTGTCTAATCTTCAGGACATTCCAATACTTATATAAGTTTGGGTGGAGACAAACGTAAGAACGAGTCACTGGGCGCTAAACTGTCCATAAGTCCTCGATAAGTGGAGGATTTTGCCTCGTGTTGACCGCCATCCTCATCAACAAGGTGACCTGCTAAGACTTCTCCTATTGACTTTTCCTTCTTTCTCTCTCCTTCTTCTCTCCTCCTTCTCCCGTGGACTCATGTCAAATCTCACACCACTTTCACCCTAATGAGAAGTAATCATAAGGATGAGAATGGTGATGTACTGTTAAACTGTGCCGAGTTAAATCTTATACCATTTACACCCTAATGAGTAGTGGCTATAAGGATAAAAATGTAATGCAATGATAAACAAACGCTGTAGGTACAATTACCAGGTAGGACGCTTGTGTAGGTGTTTAGGCCAGATAATACGAGAACAGGCCGGATAATACAACAGGCCGGATAACACATTCGACACCCACTCCTATTTGCAGCTGAAAGGCATAACTAAGCTCTAAGACTGACATACTAACAGACATCTTCTAACCTCGTGTTCTTGTTCACGTTTCTGGGATTAATTCTGATTTGTCTGACGTCAAGGATGAGTTTGAATGTTGTTCGGATTTTGTTCTATACCCTCTTGTGTCAGGTTGGTTATGTGGGTCGAGCTTTATAGAGATTAGGGAAAGAGAAGGCGATTATAGTCTCTCAGGGTGAGGTTAGGGTGAGAAAGGGGTAGTGTGAGAAAGGGGTAGGGTGAGAAAGGGGTAGTTGTGAGAAAGGGGTAGTTGTGAGAAAGGGGTAGGGTGAGAAAGGGGTAGGGTGAGAAAGGGGTAGTTGTGAGAAACGGGTAGTATGAACCAGGTGTCATTGATATTCTTACATAACAGATGAATGAAAAATTATTACGTGTATACTAAAGAATTCACTATAAAATTATGTATAGTAATTTAAATCAGTAAAATACAAGATATACATAATATACTCGATGTATTATGTATCCGGAGGTGATTTGGTTCATGTATAAGGGCTTCCATTGACAGACAGACAGAGGTGAGTTGGGGGGGATGTTGTCTGAATACTGTCCGTGTTGTCATAATAGCAGCTACTTGACGTCTGCCACACACTTAACCTCTAACACTACCACGTCTGCCTTGAGAATAACATAAACAAACGTAGCTGGAGAGGTGAGGGAGGTGGGGGAGAGGTGAGGGAGGTAGAGGGGGAGAGGTGAGGGAGGTGGAGGTAGAGTTGAAAGGAGGTAAGGAGAAGGATAAAGCCAGGAGGAGGAAGATGGAGACAAGGCGTGGGAGGGAGGAGGAGGAGGAGGAGGAGGAGGAGAACGAGGGCGTGAAGGAGAGAGGAGAGAGACAGGTGAGGTGAGGGCGTGAAGGAGAGAGACAGGTGAGGTGAGGGCGTGAAGGGGGCGTTGCGGTTGGTTAATTGTACTGTCACTGGAGGAAAAGAGAGAGGTATATGCTTATCTCTTGAAAGGTCTATTGATATCCCAGCCGATACTGTTGCCCCTCTCCCCTCCTCCCCCTCCTCCTCCTCCCCCACAACACGTAAACAGAGGTGTCTTCTGCCCGGTACTGTTAGAGTAGGCCGTTGTGGTGGTGAAGGAAGCCACTTTTTCTTTGGTACTAACTATGGAAAGATGGCATTTTAAAAGTAGTTATTTTTACAAGATCTTTTCAGTGGGTATTAATTAATCTTTTGCTTCTCTTATACGTGGATCTGTTAATAATTTCGATAAATGAAAGTGTATGTTTAATTATTTACTGTTAATTGGAAAACGTTTTGGGCAGTCGTTTCACTTGGTCAAACTATAACCAGGTGAAAGAGTTGTTCGTTTTAATGGTAACGGTACAGAGCATCTCGAGTTTGAACTGACATTTTCTTCACAATAAGATGAAAGGACCAGTGATTTATGTCAGCTGTCATGGGGAGACGAACTCGCGAATCGCCCGAGGTAGTTACGCTTGGTCTCGTCCCCAGCCAATATCTGTGACTCCAGGATAAGTTGTTAAAGGTCTCTGGATTTCTTTATTTAGAGCAAATTTCTCTTGTTACGTAAAAGATTCGTCTAAATATATTTGTAGTTAAAGGCAAGCGTGCAGGCAACAAAAAGATTGTGTAAGTTAGTGTTGTGGGTAGCTGAAAATAATGACAAATAATACTACATGCTAACTCAGCACAAGATGTTATGTTTCAACGTAAATTGTTTGGTAAACGTGACAATTTGTATGATTATATGATTGGGATGGATAGTAATTATTTCAAACTGATATATCGTTGTTTTAAATTTATCTCTGTTGGTTTAGATTTGCTTAAAAAATATAAGGTTAAATTGGGAACTCGACAACAAGGGAGAGCAGACGTGTGTGTGCCGTGGGACGAGACTAACTTGCCCAGTGTGTGTTTGACCTCCAGACGATGAGGAAGGTGTTGTGATAAAATTTTGAGGTGATTTAAAAGACAATTAGTTAAAGACATCACGTAGATATGAACTTTTAAACACAGATATTACAAATGAAGTGTCAATTACAGTGCTGAGTGTTGTATTGTTGGCGTAAACTACACAAGTCATTGCAGCCGGTAGTGAGTGGTGATTGCAACAGTGAATGTGATCATGTGCGTTTGTTTACTCCCTGACGGAGTTGAAATTACCCGTTATTAAGTGTGACAGCGAAACTGGCTTTTATATTCGTCTGTTTGGGTTCTGTCTCGTGTCCTGGTCTTAATGCTGGTGTCCGGCAGCGACTGATTAATGTAGAAATGTAATTCCTGTAAGTGGTGGTGTGTAGATCAAGCGAGGTATTGTGGCAGTAGTAATTAAACAGATAACAGAAGAGGTTTGGGTGGAGTGAAGTGTCCAGCCAGTTAACGGGTGGCAGGCGACATTTATAGGACGATAGATCCACTCACCCCTGTGTTTACCTTAATATTGTTAAAGTTTGTGGACGCGTCAAAACTAAATTTATGTTCGGTGATAAGAACTAAGTGTGGCCACAAAAAATATGGATTTAAGAAGAGTAGCGAAGAATATGATTTTTTTTTCTTCTCTTTTCTCACCAAGTGCAGGGCCCCTCTACCCCCCCTACACACACACACACACACACACACACGTACGTATTCACACAAAACGCCAACATACATGCACCTACACAAAACAAGCACATATATACCTACACAAACCCTCCCCACACACACACACACACACACACACACGTGGATGCACAAAACATGAACCTACACACTCGCCTCGCTCTTGGGTCTTGTCTTGTTGTGTGTTTATCACAGTTCAAACTCTGGTAAACCTCGCCAGTGTAAACTATATCCAGTTGATAACCAGTTAACCTTCGCTGGCCGTCAGCCCTAACACACGGCTTCACACTAACACCAGATACAAAAAAAAATTTTCAGAAAGTTAGACAGCGTTTGTGTTGTCATTTAACCCAGTTTAACGTTGGGAGTATTAGTATAATTTAACCTAATTTGATGTCTACTCCACATATTTCCGAGAATTGGGCAGTATTTATGTTGACATTTAACCTAGTTTTATGTTCTCTTAAAAATATATTAAGTCGGCATATTAGTGTTCTCGTGTAACCCAATTTCACGGTTAACTAATATATCTAAGAAGGCAGGTTGTGACCTAGTTTTATGGATGCCAAATTTAAGGTTTTCGTTGTATGTTGTAATTAAAGTAACCTAGTTTTTACGTATTCAAAAATATTTACCATGGTAGGATTTGCTTTCATTTATTCTAATTTAACCCAGAAATATTCCAGAGAGTTTGAAACTATTTTTACAATATATGCTTTCAAGATTTAATTTATACACTAAAATTTCATTAAAATGTGTCGGAAAGTCGGGTCGTTTAAAGAAATGGAATGGTGTCACGCAACCTAATTTTTACCCTTATGGTTAAAGAATATTTCAGCCTGAATGTAATTAGTTCTGTTATGTGATTTTAATTTTGCATCTCAAAAATAATTCGAAAGTATAAGTAATAATATAGTTTGAGTTATAAAGCTTAATTTTACGTTTCATTAATTTTTCGGAAACTTTCGTTGGTGAATTTTGAGTTATTCTGATTTTACGTTTCTGGAACACATCCACGAGTTGGGGCGCATATGAGATTCGAGTCATTGCAGCCTAATTTTATTTTTCCGTAACGTTATCAGATGAACCTTGAAGGAAGTAATAATTTCCTTTTGTGTATGGTTGGAAATTTTCAATAGTGTTGCTTTAGGAAGGTTAGGTGGTCGGGTAACAGGTTGGCAATACTGTAGTTTGAAAATGTCACAATTCTCGCTTAGTTTTTATTTTATTTATTTTTTTGCGCAACAGTGACACGCTATTTTTCAAGTATTGGGAGGTATTGGGATATTAAATTTTAATGTCTAAACGTAGAGAAAAGTGATGAAGCTAAGAGAAAATACAGACAAGAGGGTGTGAAGAATGTATAATTTTCGAAGGCTAGAATCCTAAATTAACTTACAACATTTATTTTGCCCTCGGTATATTTTTATCTTTATTTTTCTTTTCTTCTCGGGGTTTTAAGAACATGGAATTATCCTTTGTTCTGGCTGTTCATTGGTCACAGCATTAGGTATGGTTTGATTTGTTGGCCAATGAGAACTGCCGCCACGACGATATTGGGTTTGTTTTGGGCGCGTCGGTCCAGTGGTAACGACTTTATTTAATGGTTGGGGGAAGGACAAGTGAAATTTTCTTCTGTCCGCCATAATTACGGAAACACTGAATTTGGGATAATGATGGGCAAGTGGAGTGTCATTCCGGCGTTGGAGGAAGAGGATGTTCTAGAACCATCTTGAGATTGGCAGTGTGTTTAATTCACCTCTAGTACAGTACCAAGCCTATCATAATGTAGTTCTGATTATTTCCTGTGTGAGGCCAATTTGTAAAATCTTATTGTGGTGATGTTCAATTGAATTCAGCTTGACGAGGCTTAATTCCGAGGTTGAAGCTTGTGTTAGCATAGTTTTAACAATTCCGATGATCGTCTTGATGCAGAGGAGTATGATTTACCTTGAGGGTCGCCAATACCACATTATATAATACGAAATAATTGTACAAAATTGTGTGAAAAGGATGGTTTGTTTAACGCAGTGACGGTCCCAGCCTTTGTGGTATGGGAGGGGGGGTTGTTTTTGTCGATATTACGGAGCTACAGTATATATTTTTCATTGACCTACACACGTAGTTGAGATGTTTTTTTTTTTTTTCATATTGTTTGGAATTTCTGTCTGTGAATGGTTTTCGATAGTGTTCAGATTCAGGCAAGTTTGGTAGGAAGGTTTATTTGTATACCTGACAAATTGTTGTATGCTGATTTGTGTTGTAACCGATTTCTAATGTTGTAAGGAGGACGATGAATTTTTTCACCTTGGTATTATCCACAGTGGTGATCTTCCATGAACACACATTGTGACTTAACAGTATAAGTTGTTCTTTATCGTAGTAACCTGAATATAAGAACCCTAATAATCTTGATGGGGTTAGCGCACGGCCCATTATCCGAGTGATCAGTAGCACGAGGGACAGTTTAGGCAATTGAGAATTCATTTTCGGATCAAAAACCCCATGAAATTTGAACCCATGTATGACACTTCACTTCTGCAGTAGTGTTAGGGAGGAGGTGGTGTTCACGTAGTAGCAGCAACAGTGGTAGTGTGGTGGTGTTCCGGTAGCAGCAACAGTGGTAGTGTGGTGGTGTTCCGGTAGCAGCAACAGTGGTGGTGTGGTGATTACGTGCAGCAGCATCGAACTGTGGTAGTGTGGTTGGGTTGACGTGGAAGTAGCAACAAGTGTCCCTCCCGCGCTGTCTGGCTGCCATAGGGAGGGAGGGGGAGCGCGGGGTGAGTGTGCTGGGGCCGCGCACTCGGTGTCATAAGGGTCAATGTCATACTCGCCTATTATGTATTCTCGACCTTGACGAGACACACACACACACTCCTATCCCGTCGTTTTCTATGGTGGGGTCACAGATGTGTTCGCCGGTGTTTTTCTGTAGTTTTTGTTTAGTGAAAGTTAAAAGAGTATCAAGTGTTTGTACCTCACCGTAAGGAATCCATTAATCTTGGTGTAAATTAAGCGTAATTGTTAACGATATTCATAACACTTGATGTATTAAACCGTCTTGGGAAATTTGTTACTAATGTTTTCTTATGTTTAACAAGGACTGTAGTCTACTGTAATGTCTTAATTCGTTTGTGAGTTATGATATAGAGACTTTTTTAATATTCATGTGATTGTGACTCAGTTTGGTGTGTACTGTAGGTGGTGTAGGTGCGAGACAACTGCAGGCGGTCAAGTCAGTCTGTGTGGGAACGTCGCTTTTTAGTCCGTTTTTTTGTTTGTTGAGGCGGCTAGTGTCGTTTCCTTGGTAATTGACGGAGGTCTCGTGTTTTGGGAGAGGGTTAGTTTGGTTCGTTATCCATTTCTGTGTGGTAGAACGGTAACAGTAATGGTGGAGGAAATATTTTTCTTACTAAACTCGAAAGGTCCCACATAGATGAGCTTTTATTACGTGTTAGACTGAACAGCCAGGTTTGTAACAACGTCAGATGTGCTGTGAGTTTATTGGCTAATGAAATATAATTAGTTCAGTGTTAATGGCACGAAAGTAAACCTGGTAAGCTGATTTTGTAAGCGTTGGCAACAGGATGGAGGAGGTGAGGCAGGCAGGAGGGTTGGCCATCTCTTGAGACGCCACGCACGCATCTTGATCTTCTCCCTTATTATCCTCTTGAGGCTTGGGGCCCACTGCGTAACATTAGGGACATTCGCATGCCAGTTTTAGTGGGCAGGGCATGGACTTAGAAGTTTTAGTAGGAAGGGCTGTTGGTGAGGATGTTGACGCGGACACCGTGTTAGGAGGATATGGTTATTTGGAGATGTCGTGTCAAGTGTGTTAGAGGTGAAAGGGGTCTGTGATAGGGACATGGCCGTTTGTACTGAAGTAGGGGCGGCGGTGAAGGCGACATGGGTATATTTAGGGAAGTAGGGGAGCCCAGTGGTATAGGGGACATGGATATATTTAGTGAAGTAGGAAGGGAGAGTCGTGGTGCTGGGAACATGACCACGTCTACTGAAGTAGGGAGGATGGTGGTAGACCTGGTAGGGGACATGGCCGTGTCAGGTGCAGCAGGAAAGGTGGTGTCGGGAATATGACCGTGTCGGGACTGAGATCTGGTGGGTGGTAGTAGGCCTGGTCGTGTCAGGTGCAGTGGGGAGGAGGAGGAGGGTGGTGATGGTGGTAGTGGGGGACATGACGGCCAAGTCAGGACGATAAATGGACAAAGGACTGTCGAGGTTGGGTTTCTGAACCACACTGTCGCCCTGTAACAAGATCCCCTTGACTGCCATCACCACCTTCTGTTTTGGGCCCCTGTCTCTGCTGTTAAAGGAGGGGGGCAACTCTTGAAGGTGGGAGA